ATATATTGTTTACTTTTAATTTTATGAAAAGAATTGTAAAAAAATTATTACAAACTCATATGAAAAAGACTGAAAATAGTGTAATTTTATATAAGGGGTAAAAGTTTTGACAAAACTATTTACCGACAATTCACAACCAGATGCATCTGAGAATATGACCAAAAAGTCCATGTGAATGGCCATTGCAAGTACCTACATGCAATTCGGCACCTGGCTTATAGTTTTGTAAAAAATAGTCTTAAAAGAATTATAAATTTAATCTAATTATCATAGATTTTTAAGTTGTTTAATAAATGTTTGAATATACTTTTGTACATTGTACAATATACGGAATAAAATAAGCAATAAATATATATAGGTATACTTGTATTAGCACAATAAGGCGGTCTTATTGTTGAAAGCAATCTTTTCATGATAATCTTAAGGTGACAGACTTAATTGTTGAACAAGTAGGTATGCAAGTAAAGGAAGTTCGTAATAATAATTAAATAGATTAAAGAAAATTGTTATTTCTCTACTGAATAATAATCCTTATCTCTCTTTCCAATTGTCTTTTGGTATTAGAATTTTGTATAATTTGTATATAAGTATAATTATGTTATCTTTCTGTTATGAAAAAGCATTATAAATGCGTTAGTATGTACTTCAATTTGAAGGGTAAGGCCAGATTGTGTAACACCAATAAAAATTTATAAAGGTTTGTTGACAAATACAAGAAAAAAACTTCGATCTTAATCTATGTCATACCCAAAGCCAATGAGCACCCTAATGATCAAGACTTAAAAATTATAATGCAGTGTAAATTCCATTTCTTAACTCTTCACTGTTGGACTTTTGTGTAACTTGAGGTAAATAACATTAACTTGTTTTTTTTTTTTTTATTATTATGAAATAGTAATAATTATGCGTTGTTTATATTTCGGTTTCGAGAGTAAGGTAACCAGTGCCATTTCTGACACAAGTTGAGGTAAAAAAAACTGTATTTACCTCTCTGCTTAATAAATACAGTTTACGTATAGGTTACTTTATGATAATGAACCCCACTGAGGTTGATTCTAAAGCACCGTTATCTTTAAACTTATTTATAAATTTTAATTTGATATTACAGCGAAATCTTTAAGAACTAATGTGAACTCATCAGAGGGAATTCACCAGAGGGAGACTTTGTACAAGAGTTGTTTGCTTGGGTATCTTTGTCCCATTCGTGTTTCAATCATAAAACCGTGTTTGCATGACTTTATTGCAGCTTGACGGATGGAATATGGCATTGAATTTACAGAGTACAGAAGAATAACACCTTCGCTTTCAGGAATTGCAACGCATGGGAAGTATCATTGGCGCCACAGTACACACACTCTGTTATGTTCATGGTACTGCTCATGTTTATAGGTGACGGTTACCACTTTCCATCAGGTGGACCGTCAGTTTGTTTATATTCTACGTTGCATAAAAAAATAAACAAAATAAATTAAATTTAAGTTCAAATTATTATAAATTTAGTTAGCATCTATCAAATGAAAATATTAAATTAAAAAAGTTTAAGAAATTACACTTCAGAATCGCCGATATTAGTTTCAATAAAGAGCAAAATAAAAAAAAAAATTATAGATCCAAGAAAAGACTATTCGAAATTTAAATGGCAACAATAGATAACTGCATACAATCGAAGTCAATGTGAACAATATAAATTTCCATAAATTGGCTTATCTTCGTCAGTGGACAATTAACGGATGAAATAATGAATTGTGAAACTGCAAAATGTTTATTTTCATTAAAACACCCAATTCAGCCGTACATTAATAACGCGAGACGTGTTACAGTGACCACAACGCTTAGAAAGTGAAACTCAAACAATACGTGAAGGTTCGTTGTGGAACTTTATTCATTAGTTATATGTGAAGTACTTGCCTACTAAAAGTCAAAAGTTCGTTTTCAGGGTCACGATCTGTTTTAGTCCTACAAGTTTCGAGTACGACATGGGATAGAATAACGCTTTATTAGGGACATAGAAATTCAATTAACTTTTTATAATGTCATGAGATTCATTAACGACACAGGTCTTTAAAAAAAAAAAGAATATAGTCTACTACTACCTCGTAAATCAGGTAACTTTATTCAGAAAATATTTTAACGAACTGGGTATTATTTTGTGGAAGTTCATATTATATATTCGCAGTTTGGATGCTGAATACTAGGTTACTACTGAGCAGCGATCTATTATGAGTAATATACTTGAAGATGCCTCGTTTAGAAGTGAAACACGTGTCGAAAAGCGTGCTTGGACGAAATGGCAGTCGAAGATTGACAATTAATATTAAGGGTTGTGGAACTTCTGATGGTAATAGTGGTGGTCAGTTTTTGAGTGTTGGCAGTAATACACATAATAATATTAGTGGAATAAAAAAAAATTTAATCAAATAACAACTAAAGTCGTTTTTTTTTGGGTAACACCGACTTCAATCGACTGAATTCAATTAACAATGTTACGTGCTTTAAAAAGCACGTAAAGCAGTCATTCAGTAAGCAACGCAGAGGTTTTCGTATACAACAAATCTTAGTGATTTAGTAATTTTCGACACTAGAAGATAACACATTCACTTAAATGAACGAGTTTGAAGATAATTTATAGTTCTGTAATTCGAAGAGTAATTTAAAACTACTATGGTTGGGCATCAATAATTTACAGGGAGAGTAATTTAAAACTACTATGGTTGTAATTATTAATTACTAGTTTGTTTACTGACCATGATCAAAGTACCCTTTATTCCTCTCCATCCTATATAGTATGCACGTATTAATATATTTAATAGTGATTGGTTAAATCGTTAAGGCACTATAAGGTAACAAACGAACAAACAAACTTACTTTCACTTTTATAATACAACATACCTACATTAATAAGGATTAGTATTATTTTAGAATTTTATTACACATATTTTTGAAAAAAAAAAGGAAAATATTTTTTTTATAATTTTTTTTATTTCTTTTTCCAATTATTTATGTTAAAAACATGAAATATTAAACCGATAAAGTTTTTTTTTTATAAAATTGTAGCCATGTAGAGACATGGGTCAATGTTAAATACTAATCAGGGTCATCTGGTAAGTGATTAGTGATGTGTCGCTTAATTTGATTGTAATGACGGTCATCAACATATTTCAATGATGACGTCACAGTTTTAATGGTCAGAAAAATCAGTTCAGTACACGAATTAATCTTAATTTAAATGCATTTTTCAATTAATACAAATGAGATAAACGTAATGTACTCTTAGATATAAAATAATCGTGAAATAAAATTGATATATAACTAACTTTATTTTTTTTAATGCTTATATATATATATATATATATATATATATATATATATATATATATATATATATAAGTAAAAGCTTCAAAATATTTTTAGAGATGAAAAATACTTAGAAAAAAAATATTTAATAAAAAAAAAAAGAGTCCAATTTCAATTTATTCCACAATTATATTTTGATTGTCTTTGAAAAATAGAGGTCGTTTACCATTGAATTTTACTAGTAGTTGCCATGCTCCATTAATTTCCGGGAACTTAATGGTTGAGGGATGAGCAGCAGCGTCCCTCCATGAAAAGTTATGGAGGGGAATCGAATTTAGTTCATATGTTGATGATGATGATTCTGATTGTTTGGGATAAAATAGTTTGTTTTTCTTCATGCCAAATACAATAAGTACGACCAATTCCATGATGATTGAAAAATTATCAAATCATTGTCACATTTTACCAATATAATAAAATTGTAACTGGACAATGTTTGTATATGGAAAGTATTTAAAAAAATAAAAATGAGGGGTCTTAACCAAACTAAACCAATAGATGCATTTTTATAATAATTCAATTTTAAAATTAAATTGATTTTATAATAATTATTAGAAATTTTGTCTCACTGTGTGTTTGTTACGTCATCAGGTGAAATCTACAATACTAAATTAGTTGATATTTCCACAGTTATATTCCTGAAGATCTAACTTAAAGTCTGGCATGTTTTGTCTTGATACGCCAACTAGAAGTAGTCTAATTCATTAGTTTTCCTTCTTTTGAAATCTATGCGTACAAAGTTGCAGGCAATAAGTTATGTAATATTTATATTCAATTTTGCTGACAAGAATACATAAACAGTTATTTTTATTATGTTATCATCTTTGTTATTAAGATTAATATAAAAATACGTAAGTAAAACAGTAACAGGTTGATAATATTTTTTGCGAGCATTTTAAAACCCACAGATCTGCGTGAGAAAAATGAGGTATGATGTGACGTGAAAGAGTAAATAACAAATATAGTATTTAACTGATAATGATTAGTAAAAAAAGTAACTATAATTTGTAATTTGTTATTAAGTGTTGAATATTAATAATAAAATATAGATTTATAATAATTCAAATAAAAAAAAATATAGGAACAGAGTTACTTAGTTTTATATAAGTTTTTTTTATGATTGTTACCTCGTAACTCCCTTATTTATAAACCGCTTTAGATTTATTTTATCTGAAAGGCTCTATTTACAGATTGGTCCCATAAAAAAATTATTAAAGTCGGTTTAATAGTTTAGTTTTGTAATCAAAATAATTGTTTCGACAGAATTGAAGTTGTTTTTTTTTTGTGAAACACATTTTTATATATTTATTTATTTCAGTTGTTTAATTAGAAAGTTACAATATTTAATTGCAGCTGTCACTAACCTACAAAGTCAAAAAATTTTATAGTCACAGATAGTTGTCGAATGTATATACTTCTGCGAACATTCAGGTTGCAAATTAACTTTTTTTGTAAGGTTTTCCCTAACGATTACAAATATAGTAGAAGTTTTCACAAAAGCCTTTTAAAGGTTTTTCCAGGTACACAGTATAACAGCGTTATAAGTGTAATGCTGCGATAACTATTATTCAGACGGGCCGTAGGCTTGATTTATTGCTAAATTTTAGAGTAATATTATAATAGTACAAATTACAGTACACACATACCTTTATGTGAGCTGACAGTGTAGCCCACATCTTCAAATAAAATGTGAACAGGTGGACGTTTGGCCATACGGTTGAGAGCCTTTAGGGTAGAACCAGCTCGCTCCAAAGCAGCTGGTGTCCATTGATTCTCATGCTGATTGACCACTAGAGGGTTGTTCTGTTCTGCTAGAGAGGATGAGGTGTGTGCAAGGGAAGCACCAGCAATCGCACGACGTACTAATGGGATGCTCGACATTTTTATCACATCACAAAATGTATTTCAAATTAAGAATAAAGTAAGTTCTCTTTTTTTAAATTTATTTTATTTTATATAAAAACAGATTAAAGATTAAAATAATTATAGAAAAAGAATTAATTTTTATTTAAAGATAAAATAACAATTGTTTATTATTACAAATTTAAATTTGTTACGTTCGATGTTTATGTTTATACACGAATCGGTTACACTGCACGTGAGTTTACAGTGAAGCCGCGCATGCGTGCAGTTGGTATCAAAGGCGCAATGAAACTAGTCGAGCCATTCATGCCATATTATGTTCAGCGTTGTTCTGTAATTAAAGTTTTAATTAGTCCAGTAGTGCATAGAATTAATTTAAAAGATTAGTTGATAAAGTTAGACAGTGGTTAAATATTTTCAATAAGGGAAAATTCTGTTCATTAAGCAACTATTAACATCCCATTACCGTCTTAATTGGCAAGAGATTTTTCTTATAAAGGAAAATAGTCTAGTACTACACAATGTTACTGTTTATATATTTTTTGAATGTTGAAAACAATGTTAATGGTTTTTTAAAATTGCCTAATTATTTATTTGTATGTTTAATGTTTGCTTTTCAATCTGAATAGTAAGATGCTTGGTACTCGATATGCCTGGCACCTGATAGTAGAATTTTTTTTATTCAACTTAGAATGGCAAACAAGCTGATAGGCCACCTAATGGAAAGTGGTAACCGTCGCCTATAGACATGAGCAGTACCATGGACATAACAGAGTATACTGTTTCGCCCATGATACCCCCATGCGTTGCCATTCCTGAGGACTCAGATGTTATTCCTCTGTATCCAATAAATTCTAAAATATAAATATATAATACTTACTTGGCCTGAAAAACGTTTTTTTTTTCACTCCTGCTGTCATCTATTAGGTCGACAGTTATTTATTGGTATATGATGTAATATGGTGTTCCACAAAAAAAAAGTATTTAATTGGATTTGATAAAATATCTATGGTTCCAAAAAAAAAAAGAATTTTCCTCATTAGTTTAAATTACGGGTTTATGAGATAATAAATAAAAAAAGATACAAGTGAAATAAAACCTACTTCCTTTTTAAATTTGGTTGAACAACTATTTTGTATCAATAATAAAAAATAAAATAAAATATAAAAATATGTCATATTTCTGGTATTGCAGGCGTTCATAGGCTATGGTAACCGCTTATCAACAGGTAGGCAGTTTGCTTGTTTGCCACCTCAATGCTATAAAAAAATATAAAATATCTCAAATTGAAGCAAACAGCACACTCGGGAATTTTTTTTTCATTATATATGTCTATATGTAATATTATGTCGATATTTTTCAGTAGTAAATACCTTGTTGGCAATGGCAAAACATTAAGAAGTATTTTTTTTATTATCCATTCAGTTCGATCAATTTATTGTAAAATCTTGACAGGGCAAGGCGACGGACGGTTGCAACGCGGATAGAGTTTGTCTTCAACCGGTATCAGGAAGATTGTAGTCCACGTTGTAGGGTTGCCAATTGTAATACTACGTATATAAATACTTTCATCATTATCATCATCATATTAGCCGTTATTCCAACCATCTGGACGAGTGACGGTCCTCCACCGTGCGTTTTTCAAGGCACTTTCTCCCACGCACAACCACTCTTTGGAATCAACTTCCAGCAACAGTATTTCCGAACCGATTATGTTGTCGTACATAACCTTCAAGAAAAGAGTATATTCCTTTTTAAATGGCCAGCAGCACACCTGCAATGACGCTGGTGTTGTGGGTGATTATGGACGGCGGTAGTCACTTACCATCAGGCGAGCCACATGTTCGTTTGTCCCCTGTGTTGTAAAAAAAGCCGTTATCTATCCACTGCTGAACGTAGGCCTCCCCTATAGACTGTTATAAGGAACAGGACCATTATTTATGGCAGTTTATCATTGGGAGGATTTTGCTAGTAGTTACTATGTTTGGCAGGCGGTTTGAAAACTGCAGGTTGGCATGTGTTAATATTTGAAGAAGCACTCTGCAGACCATTCCTCGACTGTTAAGTTCCTTAGTCGCCTCTTACAACACCCAGGACCACGGCATAAATGCTGTTTGATACCAACAGTAGCTTCATATTTAAGGCGAATATGGACATTGAACTTCAGTGGTATCCTGAGAAGTCCCCGTTTGTTTAGGCACCTAATTTGTTGAAGTTCCTGGGTACTTCATTAGAGACTCTAAAAGCATTGGGGTCTTTGGATTTGATATTTTGAGCGACATTCAATTCAGAGGTCATTTGGAAGAAAAAGCTAAACTGGCTTCTAAGAAATTTAGGGTCCTGATCAAAGCGAAAGAGTATTTCACTTTTCAGTATAGACTTCTGTTATATAAAGTCCAAAAAGTGTGAGATGGGATGCTGCTTCATTATCCATTTTTTATCGTCTTTACAATGGGGAATGTTCTAAGTAATTATATGATCTGATGCCTTCATTACCCTTTTACTACCGTACTTCTTGCCACCGTAGCTCTAGCTCTTACACATTTATTTATTGGGTGCATGGGACAGTACCATTGTCTAGATATATTGTTATTTCTACCTTGTACATCTAGGTTGTGGAATGAGCTCCCGTCTTCAGATTGCTTTTTACAATATAATATGGGACATTTAAAAAAAACGTGCTTACAAATATTTAAAAGGCGCAAGCACAATTGCACAAGCCACTCTTCTCGTGTTGCAAGTGTTTATGGGTGATGGTGGCCGCGTTCCATCAGGTGAAAAGTCTCTTCGTTTGCTTCCCTAACAATAAAAAAAAAATCGGTACTGATATAATACAATATATGGTAATTTTATTCTAGGACATGCCAGTAATCTGTCATAGGATTGCCAATCGTACTACTATGTATATAAATGCTATATTTGATACTCATAGAATATTTTTCTTTCTATTGATATAGTACAGTAGAGTACAGTATATATATTTTTATTCTGGGGTACGTGGGTTACGTTTACGTAATTTTATATAGTTACCCCAATAATAAATTAATAAGCAAATAAGTTAATAAGCAAAGATATTATTTATCATATATAGTATTTTTTTACTATGTAGATGTATAACGACGCATAAGAAGTTTTGCAGTCTCTTATTTCTATAAAACGATTAATTTTATTAATACAACTAAATATATAATATTTTAATATAATACCTATTAAAGGATTTAGAACTTAACGAGGTTGAAGATAGTGTTCACGGGTCCATGAGTTTTGATGTCATTTGATCATAACTTAGATATTCCTATACTAATCAGTCAAAATGATTCATACTCATGGCTTATGACTATGATTCATAAATTAATATGAATTCTTATGAAAATTATATGCAAGTGCATACAATCATCCTTATAATGGTCAAGTGCATATTTGTATACATGTTTGTATCTATTTATATTTAAATAAATATGTGATATGTATAAGGTTATGCTATACGTGTATCTTGTTACTTTTATCGACTTCCAAAAAGTGTAATTTAATTATTTGTATGTTATGCAATTTTTTTATGCAACTTATAATGGCAAACAAGCTGACGGCCCACATGATGGAAAGTGGTAACCGTCGCCAACATGTATTAATCATGAGCAGTACCATGGACATAACAGAGTATACTGTTTCGCCTATGATACCCCCCATGCGTTGCCATTCCTGAGAACTCAGGTGTTATTCCTCTGTACCCTGTAAATTCACTGCCATATCCTACTCTTCAAATCGAAACATAGCCATGCAAACACAATTGTTTCACGGTAGAAATATGAATAGGAAAGAGGTGCCCAAGCAAATGACTTTTGTACAAAGTCTTCCTCTGGTAAAAGCATAAATCTGGTAAAATATAGCAATATATATAACCAAAAGAAGATCCTTGACTATTCATGAGAAATCTTCAAGTAGTTTCGGGAATATAATTTGTATATGATATTTATGTGTTGTTAGTTACAATAAATTATTATATTTTTTCTTTAGACACCATTCATTACTTAAAAACTTAAACGAACATATTTTAAATACATATGCGGGATTTAATGCGATGTAAAAGTCTGTACAGGTAAATAGTACCTACATAACAGCTTCTTTATTGCCGACATTTCGACGTGGATTGCACGTCGTGGTCACGACAGGATTAAATTAAAATTAACTATTTAAAATTAAATGAATATGTTTAAAAAAGTTGGCAACCCTATAATTTACACTCGCGTATGTACTCATATTTGTTACAGATAGTCTGGATTTTAAGTGAATTGTATGAAATAAATTAGGTAATTTGCGAAACGAGTTATTGTTATATAATCAGTTGAGCTACCTTGCATAATGCATTTATAGTACGCAATAACTGCATTCATAACGAATGTCTTTTCTTTTATAGGCCTGTAATTGGCAGTAAAGAGTTTGGGTATTTTTTTATTACTTGGAATTGTGAGGTTCAAAATATGTATGAAAACTTTTAGTAAAAAAATTTATAGGATTTTTGTATGACTCTATGGTATAAAGTCTATGTCAAATGTATAGTTTAAGAGGATTTAAGACGATCGTGTTGAAATACGATAATGCGTTTTTGGCTTCGGGACTATCTTATAGACTTGATTTCCTCATGGTGTTCCTACAAAACAAGTCTATAGGGGTCTGAGGAATCTGCTTGTACATAATCATCTCCTGAGGTGAGTGGGTCTCAATTTCCATACTTAATAGTATTGTCTTAGTATTTCCTATTCAGTTATAATATCATACTTGGGCTCTTCAATTAATCATTCAATCATCAATCAATTTTAGTAATATCATATCTTTCTTTTTTCTGTTAATTACTTCTATTATAAATTTATTCTAGAATTATGATTATTATAATTATATGGTCTATGATATTTGCAACATATAATTCTTTCTAAAGACCTACGCAGACGATGAACATTTTGTTTGTGGACAATATTTTTTATTTGTATACAATATGTGTGGTTCCTGTGACTTACAATTTTAGGTTTATTTTAATTAGATTTTAACTAAAAATTACACTAAGAATTATCGGACTAAAAATTATGAACATGAGTTAAAAGTACTTATAAGAAAATTTTTGTTTGCGTAGAAATGCCCTACGTCGGCTCAGGACACAATAATTCTTACATAAAAGAGTTAAGGGACATCTGTTAATGTATGTAAATAGCTGATTATGGTATAATAAATTGTTCACTTAATAATAAAAGTTATTTTTATTGTACTTCATTCTCGGCTAATTTGCCGGTTTGTCATCACAT